TAATTAGTAATTACTAATTTTACTAATTACAGAAGTAATTAGTGTTGTCAAAATATCCATATTACATAAAACGTTCTACAGAAGTAATTAGTAATTACTAATTTTACTAATTACAGAAGTAATTAGTGTTGTCAAAATATCCATATTACATAAAACGTTCTACAGAAGTAATTAGTAATTACTAATTTTACTAATTACAGAAGTAATTAGTGTTGTCAAAATATCCATATTACATAAAACGTTCTACAGAAGTAATTAGTAATTACTAATTTTACTAATTACAGAAGTAATTAGTGTTGTCAAAATATCCATATTACAGTTTTTGATTAATGAACCTTTTTTTCTATTCTTACGATTTTTTATTTGTTTGAAATTAAGCGCAATGCTACACAATAGGCTCTGTCCTCTACCCACCACGGGTATCGAAACCCGGTTTTTAGCGTTGTAAGTCCGCAGATATACCGTTATAGCACTGGGGGGAGGGGCTTATTACGATAATTGAAATTTCGATATTTTTGATACAACATATAAATTTCTTTACATCGTTTTTAGACATTGCAATTATCGATAAAAATAAAATTATATATATATATATATTTAAATAAGTCCTAGTTAGTTTGAGATAGTTTAGTAAAAAATAAAGTCATCAGGTATAAATCAAATTTAAAATTATGTTACGTATTAATTGCCAGTAAGTAATTGAGAAAAACCTTAAAACTTTGACGCGTAATTGTAACTACTAAGCTTTTAACAGTATAAATCATATTTCTATAGGAAAAGCAACCAATTTACTATCCCATTTAAGCTTTTCACATTTTAAATATTGTTACTGTGTTAGTCTTTCTCCAAAACAAACTGCATTATATAGTTACTTTCATGTGTTTCAACTTGTTTCTTATATGTGATCTTTTTTAAGACTTCAGTTCTAGTATTTATCAAACATTTTGTCTTATTCTATAGTATTTTCAAATTAATACAATACGAAGTATCGTAGGAACACAATATTGTTAATATTGCAATTAAGGATAACCGTGAGGACCTTAGATGTAACAGTTTGTAGTTTTATTTACATAGACCAGATGAAGTGAGGAAAATTTCATGCTAGATTTAAGTCTCTTTGAGAGTTTAGTAATAGCCCACCATCCTTAAACAAGGAGAAAAATTATTTTATTGGATGTAATATTAGAAGAAAATATATGATAAGGTTATCTGGTTTTTAGCCACAAATAATCGACAGATTTATATGTATAAATTAAGTATTCAAATTATCGTTTTATTTCAGGGTTCGCACGGTTCTATGGGCCCTGTTGGAATGGTGAGTTTAATGTTCTGAAATAAATAAGTATTAATAAAAAATATTCCGAAAAATCTATGCTAAATATTTTCCAATACTACAAAATTCTATGGGATATTTCAAAATAAGAAATATCCATGTAAAATGCTACTGTTAGATAATAAGTATCATTATAATCTCACAAAATGTCCCTTTCTTTTTGAACTATCGCATAAAAGACTAAAAATGTATTATTATACATTACTTTATCTTTTATATTTATTATGTTGTTACAATACAGCTCACCTTTAATAACGTAGTAATACATTGCCAAAGCTTTCAGTTAATTTTTAGAAAGTAATTAAAACTTTTACTTTTGTAATACACTCTACAGTAAAACAAAAAAACTGTATATAATGTTTTCATTATTTTTATAGCCAGGTGAGCGGGGAGCAACAGGCGGGCGGGGTCTTCCTGGGCTTCCTGGTCCTATAGGAATTCCAGGAGCTCCAGGTCCGCCAGGAATTCCAGGAAATCCCGGAAACAGAGGTTCACCAGGAATGCCTGGACTACCAGGACCCCCGGTACTTTTTTATTTATTCATTTACAAATATCTCAAACACTAATTAGTTAGCTTACAAACATTTGTATTAGAATAAGCTTTACTATTGAAAATACACGTTTCAATTGAACTCTTGTCAATAAACGCTATTTTTGTTTCCATAATTATGTCACACTCAATTATTCTATTCTACAACAGTTATTCTGCCTTATATGGATCTTTCTACAGCAGTTCTGCCTAAACCGGATCTTGTTCTTCTCCTTTGATTGGATCTTCTATAGTAGTTCTTCTTTCATTGGATCTTCTACAGTAGTTCTACTTTGACTGGATATCTTCTACAGTAGTTCTTTGGTTGGATTTTCTACAGTATTCTGATTTGTCTGAATCTTCTACAGTATTCTGATTTGTCTGAATCTTCTACAGTATTCTGATTTGTCTGAATCTTCTACAGTAGTTCTGTGGTTGGATCTCTAGAGTATTCTGATTTGCCTGAACCTTCTAAGTAGTTCTCTGATTGGATCTTCTACACTAGTTTTCCTTTGATTGGATCTTCTACAGTAGTTTTCCTCTGATTGGATCTTTCTACAGTAGTTTTCCTCTGATTGGATCTTCTACAGTAGTTTTCTTTTGATTGGATCTTCTACACTAGTTCTTTGGCTGGATCTTCTACAGTAGTTCTCCTTTGATTAGATCTTCCAGAGTAGTTTTCCTTTGATTTGATTTTTATAGTAGTTCTGCCTTGTTTGGATCATTTTTATACTACTATATTTATGTGCGCTCAGTTTAACATTTTTTCGTTTATTTGTTTTCATCTATCTTAGAAATTACTATCGTCTTTGGTTTTGCATCTTTCTGTGTAAGAATTTTATTGAGTTTCTAACTATTCTGTACATGGGTTTTCGTTCTTTATATTTTTCTTTACAAATAACATCTTTAACCTTTACTTTCGAATAACCCTTTTAAATTTCTATTATTAAACCTTATTAATAATTATGGATAAAAGATGTATCATAATATAAAACTAACTTTTTTAAATCTAGAAACTCACAGTCTGAGTAGAGAACCGAGTGGTAGTGAAGTTCTGTAATATATATATCTAACCTTTATAAAAGCTAGTCTGTGTCACATCACGCTTGATTTCTCGAAATAGGAGAGTCATAAAAACCAAAATGCATTTATTCAGATAGAGTAGTTCGATTACTGTCTGCTCATTAAGATTTTAGCGATGGGGGTGCAAGGGGGCCGTGAGGGGTGTGCCGGTAACCTTATAAGTGTAGTGAGTGTTGGTATAATAAGCCTAAAGTAAAGACGTAGTGTGGGATCACCTAGCCTAGAGCCAAATGCAAAACATTTATCATGAAAGTAAAATTATCGATTCAATTTTAAACTTAAATCGTTTGTGAATTATGCTATTTTCTGTTATATCACCAACGTTTTTAATAATAAAAAAAACCTCTTTAATCAACGGAGACTCTAAATTAAGAAATCAAGAAATATTTTTCCACTTTTGTTGTCTATACATTTCATTTTATACTTTCAGTCCATAGACTAACGACAATAATATGTTATACTTTTATTGCTAAGCATAAAAGGAATCTAGGAAGGTAGTGTTACCAAAACGCACTGGCTTTTCTATATATTAGAAGTTGTTAATCTAATTAATTTTTACCAATACTTATTATTCTATGAATACGCCACGAATTTGTTTCATGAATTATCTTAATTTTGATTGACTCACAAAGGAATTTACCGACGTTTGACTGCCTCGACTGCACTTTTCAGCCACTTTGTTGGTCAACCTTGATTTCGCAAACTTTATTTATTTCAGTTAGTAATTAAATGTGAGGTTAGGGTATACTATTTTTGACGAGCTATACGTTAGTAAATAAATAAAACAACCTATACGGTATAATGGCATATACAGTCATTCGCTTGAAAGATATTCTCTAAAGTGACGTGTTAACTCATAATTTTGAGTTGGTATTTTAACGTCATAATTTTCACGTTATACATAACACTTATAGTTAGAGGTTTGTCTTTAAATGTGCGTTTCGTTACTTCTGTAATTTCATTACATTAGTTTTAACCGTTTATCAGCTACCATTCAAATTGGGTTTTAAGCTATTTTCAGATTTGAAATTATACTAAACGCATTTTAAGAAAATAAACAAGAGTGAACAAAACAATGTTTTCTGATCAGGGAATGAATAAACACTGGCCCTTTAAGCATAGAACTTACCAGGTTTTTTTTCTTGATTCTGAGAAATTATACTGTTCACAATTTTTTATACGAGTTTGAAAAACGTTTTTTATAATATTTATTGGTTTCAAATTATATTTTAAGAACGGCATCATTTTCAATTAGATACTTTATAATTACACGTAAAAACTATGAAAACCTTAGATTTAGCTTATACTGAAAGTATGGGACAATATATATATAGAAAGTTAATCATTTGTATTTGAAAAACAAATATTAGCAACTATATTAAAAAGTTTCGACTTTGATCAAGAGACGGCGCCACATTTAATGTTGTTTTTTACTTTTGTTTGTTATTTATATATGTTCAGTAAATTGACAAAGGATTAAAGTTTTTGTACAAACAGAATTGGTAAATAACATGATTGGGGTACAAAATTTAAAGAATGCTAAAAAAGACCACTTGGTGGCCAGTTTGTGAATATAGAATATTTATTCGAGCCTATCAATTTACGATATTTATGCACTAATGTTTGCCAATTTTAGGTATAAAATTTTTTCGAGTCACTATGCCTGAAAATTTGTTTATATTTTTGTAGGGTAGAAGTTTCAGCGAAGAAGAAATGAGAGAAATATGTGCTGCAGTTCTTCGAGGTACGATTTTTATTTTCAAAATATTCAGTGAAAATAACATTTACAGGTCAAACTATTTTTAAGTAAAAACTTTCAGCTGAATGAGCATACAAAATATAAGATCATATTGCTTATAATAAAAGAATATCGTATATTTTATATGATTATTGTTTCGCGGGATTAAAAGAATAATTAAAATGATCCTTTAAAAAACGAAACAAACTAAAAAGAACAGATATGGTAATCTCGTCATTAATTTTATATTTGTTTGGATATATATATATATATAATTAGATATTAAATATTATATGATCTAGTTTTATTCACTAAAAGTCATGACAAAATATAATCATATAAACGAGGCTGAGAATACGATCTACGGTTCTATATTAGGCTTAAAACATTCTACTTTAATAATCTATATAAATTTAACAGTTCTCCATGACTGAGGATAAACAATTAGCGCTATTAGAAAAGCTGTTTCTCAATAGTAGTTAAATCTACTTCAAAATGTAATTCGTATGTTATTCACTTAAGTCTTTAGCTAATTTAACTATACACTGGATTTTTGTATCCATTCAAACTTGGGATGACTCACACCATGTATTTGGTTATTATAAGCAATGTTTAGATTCATCCAAACATCTAGTTTATGTAAAACCTGAAGAATATATTTTATTCCGATTCGTTGAGAACTTCTAACATTAATCTATAATCGTCATGTAACTGAATACGTTATTCTAGTTATTTGTTTTACTGTCTAGAAAAATGTATATTCCTTAAAACATACTGCTTTTAAGGAGCGCATAATGGTTTAAATTCAATAGTCAAACATAGAACATATCATTAAATCAATATTAGATAAATGCCACCTACTTACTAAAAACTGGTTAGTCAGTATGAATTATAATTACATGTTTATATTTATAAAAATTTCAAACCTTCACTTTGGGGAAGCAGAGCAGCTAACGGACTTGACGGCGAAACTAAGGGGTCCACCAGGCATCCCTGGAAGGGGAAAACGGGGTCATTCAGGACCACCCGGTTCGCAAGGACCTCCAGGTAATAAATAATAGCATATTACTTTAAAATTATTTTTCTACCTAGACTGTTTTCTAGATGCTAAGATGTTGGTATTCTACATTTGTAGTATGACAAATAACTTTAAAATTACTTCTTTTTTTTTACCTGAATGCTATTCATTAATATAAGACAATATCGGTATTCTAGTTTTGATGTACTATAATTAATTTCACTACCTAATCACTTGGAGTTACAATGTGAAAATGTTATTTTTACACACCATTTATATGAAATTCGTAATAATATGCCCTCCAGTGGCACAGCGTTATGTCTGCGGACTTACAACGCTAAAATCTGGGTTTCGATACCCGTGGTTGGCAGATCACAGATAGCCCTTGTGTAGTTTTGTGCTTAATTACATACAAACCGTAATAATATAATTAAAAGGAAATTCATAAAATTATTTGTGCTTAAAAGTGATTCACTTTTACTAGGCCTATATTGGTTAATTGCTGTACCAACGTTTTAAACCTCATCATTGCGCTTCTTGTACTGCATACAAATAAAACTTCAGGCATACTTTTGTTGCCATAGGTCCAACCGTGTTCTCGACACTGACTTGTGGCAGACAGAATACAGTACTCTGAGTTGAAAATCATAACGATCCAGTTAGAACGATTACTAAAGAAAAATATCTACCAGCCAGCATGATTTTCACTACATTTATTAGTCGTCTATCAATAGCTACTGTGTTTGTATGCAGGATTGTTTTGTTTAAGCAGACACGGTTGTTATTTTTTAATTTTGTTTTCTAATTTCATCTCAAGAGATTTTGAAATGAAAGTTAAAAAGAATAGCTGTAGTATTCTAGTATTCTAACTGTTACGTGGATTCCACTTATACAGGTACGTCTCCTATTGGATGCACTCTACCATTTCCATTCTGACGATTTGTTTGTCTACCTTTTATATCACACGCTATTTTTTATTTTTTGCATTGTTGTTTCATAAAAATACATAAACACATCCAAATTATATATATATGTACTTAAGTTATAATAAGAATTAATAATCAAACATTTATTTTAATGTTTTAAGGCGATCGAGGAAATCCAGGATTGCCTGGAGAGAGGGGATTTATGGGAATGCAAGGAATGCCAGGTCCTCGCGGACTACCTGGGCTTAAAGGTAAAAATAGAATAAATGTATTGCAAGGACTTTCGTTATTATCACATAGTTGGATAAATTATTAATAATAGTTCTCTATCTCTAATAGTCAGTTCAGAGTGCTATACCACTTAATCTACAAGGCATATGGTTGTGCCATTGCAAAAATGGCACACACAAAGGGAAAATTAATTGCAAAACTTACCAAATCTTGCCAGAAGGAGCGCCAATTTATCAAAATTCATTGATTTTGTACTACATGTTCAGTATGCGCCCACATGATATCATTAGTGCATTGCATACTTTGAACAAGGATATCACAGTTCCCAGCCCATTCCTTGGGTAAACGAGTATGATCAGGTATAGTTTATGAGTTATCCCGGAAAGTTGAATTTAAGTAACTCATAACCAAAAAGTTGCTGCTGTATAGCCTGTGATGATAGCAGGAGATGACTATCTTCACCAATGTGTAATAATTCTCATATCTGGCGGCAGATATGGGAAGGAATATCATCGTGCACAATCACCGTAATGGCAAATGCTTGCAATCAAGTAGGTCATGGTACCACTGGTTGTCCACCTCAAGTGGCGCAAGAATTACAATCCAAAGCCGATGTGAACTGAGGATCGATCCTTTCAAGTTTTCACGTATGAATAAGCTAGTAGGGAGAACATATGCAATGTTGAACGGACTGTCGAAAGGCTCATGAAGAGAGTGGGATACTACAAAGACATTGTAAATCCCATGGACAGTTGTCCTGGCACCCTCTTCCAATCATTTATAATTTTGGCAATAGTTTTCACATGAGTTTTGAATCTCCCAAAACGGCTTTTATCATATCTACACCCCCATGTCATGAAGTTTTCGAACCAATTATATGCACAGATGCATAGACTTCTGCTACAAAAGTTTAGGAACTCCTGGACTAGGTCACTGCTGGTATTGAGTGAAAAGCTTTACCACAAACTCTGATGGAAATAATGCTTGTGTACTCCTAATGCTAGACAATTATATTGGGTAAGCCCAGAGTAAATGATCAAAATCAGTGGTTTTTTTTTGTGATGATTGATCATAATGTTGTCTGTAATTGATGTGTTTAGCAAGTGTAAATTAATGAAATTTTGTTTTTGCCACATTAGGAGACAAAGGTGATAAGGGCGAACGAGGTCCAGAAGGAGTTGGTATTGAAGGACCTATGGGTCTTCGAGGAATTCCAGGTAGGCTTGTAAAGTAATCGATCGTTTTTTGCTATGAATATCTCAAAGAGATAAAATAGCTTATGATAGTTAAAATAACCTCTCTCCTTAGGCACACATGTTGAGGATGTTCAAATTAAAACTAAAGCGACCAGAATGCAGAGTTTTTATGTACTGGAACATATAGATACCATTATTTTGGGACGGATTAATCTGACCATACAAGTTAATTGATAAGTATAGTGAAATGATCATCCACGGAACACTTTGAAATGTGTCATATAAAGTAACTATGTTAAATGCATAGCGCTGTGGGATTTACAAAGGTTCCAATGTATCTATCAGGCTCTTCCATTATTCCCAGTTACTTCTATAGCTACTCCAGTGAGGTGGGGGAATCGTACTCGAACCTGAAAACGTATACTTTAACACCCATCATGCCTGGGTGACTTTTTGGGAGCATTTTAGACTCACTCGGTAAAGGGAATATGCCACATAGATAAGGAAACCCCTTCCTCAGGCCACCTTGAGTCAGCTTGCCAAATTTGATCCTGCTAGCTCCACAACCGTGGGAGGAGTTATCTGGACATACATACATAAAAGTACAAGGAGTATTAATCTACGACAGAGTAGGTGAGCAAGTGTTTTCCCTTAGCTCTTCCAAAAACCCTTAGCTCATTTGGATTAAAAAATCATATTAGCATATTTTTATCCACGAGGAAAGAACAAGAATTTAAAAATACAATCGAACAAATTATTCCACCCCTTAGCACCCAACGTACTCACATTTTGTATCCACTCTAATCATTGGATCGTACAAGTTCATGCACACAAAGTTGCTCAAATAGATTCATTTTCGCAAACTTTAAAAATAACAGTTCAAACATACAAAGCAGCTGAAAATCATGTGATTAGCAAATACTTTAACAGTAGATGGTTTAGCATCCGATTCTAGCACCCAATACATATCCCAAACTTTGTATTTTACATATTCAAAAATATTTATATTGCTTGCTATATACTGTTTAATCTAAGAGTTCACAGCAGAAAGTATAACCTTGAATAAATAACCTCTGTCAGACGGTAGCACTTCCTATGAAGGGATGGCTCGGATTGTTAATCGAAATTGTATTTTAAATGTCTCCTCAATAGGTCATCAGAACTTTACAATATTATACAGTGTTCCCTTTTATAACAATATGTATGTAATGACTGAATCACAAATTATGGGAATGTCTGTAAATATCATAGCAAAAAAGTTTGAATTTCTTGTTCTTCTCTAAGACCAAAACAATGTTGTCAACCAATTTCATGGAGGTGACATAGTTTCGAACGGAATATCCGCTTTTCTAAGTATTATTAATAAATAGTAGCAATGAAAAAATAATTATAATTGTAGTGTAAACGATGACATCATTACCCCTTGAAGTTAGCTTTATTAAAAAAATTTGGCGTTGCTTTAAAAAGCTTAAAGACAGGGTGAAACAGGAATTACCAGCCAATAATAGATAAACAATAAATATTACAGATGGAACCTAATTGTATTTAGAACTTGGTTATATGTACAACCTTCCTATGTCTATTGAAACACTGTATTAAAAAAAAACAAGCAATCAAGTAAAGAAAAATTCTGAGCCTGTACTACTATATAAGGATGATGCAAATGTCATCCATACTATCTTGTTTGCATTGTTTTTGAAGGGTTGATATTAGCGATTCCTCTATTTTCTTCCTTTTTAGAAAAGTTTTTTCTTTACTTGTAGATAGACGATACACACATGTGCGATTGACGTGGTTCCTATAAAACAATTCTAAAAGCTTTAAGAATGACCAGTTCTCTCTGTATTCTTTAGTTTATATTTACATAATACAATACTTGTTTTTTAAACTTTGAAAGAGCTCGTAAACAAGGGAAGACCTCATTTTTTATGCGAGAGACGTTTAGATACATTTCAATTACTTTACCTGTAGAATCCGGGTTTCGATACCCGTGGTGGGCAGAGCACAGATAGCCCATTGTATAGCTTTGTGCTTAACTTCAAACAAGACAAGACAAGACTACTTTACCTGTTGGAAATAACTTCTTGAAATGTGGTATTTCCCATATAAATTTCTAATGGCATTATGCTTACATCGCGAAAGGTTAAGTGAAAAAAAAGAAATCAGTACAACTGAATGCTTGTGTGTTCATGTGTAAATTTATACTTGTAAAAACAACAAAACCGCTTACAATGGTAATATAACAATATATATAACCTATGTAGCATGATCCCCTTACGGTAACAGGTCAAATTACGATGTAGTGACCTATATTACGTAACGTTTGTATGGTGTTATTAACAAATGTTATATGTTTACAGGACCACCTGGAGCTACAGGCACAGGACTCCCTGGCCGCCCAGGAGAAAGAGGACCACCAGGAAGACAAGGAATGCCAGGAATTCGTGGACCTATAGGTCCTCAGGGACCGCCAGGCTATTGCGAACTCTGTAGTTATCCAGGTGCTGACTTGGCAAATGCGTTTCAGCGGTTTAGTTCTATTGATGATGATAAGGGGCCTTCTAAATAGTTGTGCCAGAAAAGAATTTAAACCAGACACACCCAAGCTATTTACCATGATAAAAAAATATAAAGTCATTATCAATGAATCTTTACTAAAGAAAAATTCTCCACACAGGATAGGAACGTGGAATGACCGCCAGGTCATGGTGCTGTTTGTTGTGGTCTCCAGTTCTGCTTTAGTGTGACCTTTCAACATGCCTTGATGTATGACGGCATCGAATCTGGGCATGTGAAATAGATTAATGCTTAAAGAAAAGAAACAATACCTAGAATTAATATATCGCCCCTCTTCCATGTTTTAAATACGACAAAGCAGGTTTACAATATAATAGTAGTTTCGTATAGGAATGATTTTATTTTTTTCTGTCCAGACGTGTCACACTTACTTGTTGTGACTCTGCTCAAGTGCAGACACTGCCATGATTTATTTAATAATTCTTAAATGTTGCTGTTTGTCAAGTTCGAGAAATGGCTGCAAGTCATTCAGGATTTTTACTTATTTTACTTATACTTTAGTGGTATTTAAAACACTATGTATAAAGATTGCTTTAATCACAATACACGCTGTTATTTCTTGTTCAAAACTGTTTGGTGGTATCGCTTTAACGCAGAATGGTGTGTAGTGGATGACGTTTAATGCGTGTACTTGCTTTTTTTCGGATACACTATGTTCTAGTCTTCATCATGCTAGAAACAAAATATTATATTATACCTGACATATAAGGCGAAGGAGAAGTACCTTCTGGCTCATGGACAGCTGGCCGTTAGGTGTCACTATTTACCTCTGACACTACTTTTGTTTTGTCTTTTCATCTCCACAAATTGAAAAGTATATTTTATTTTTTATTTCTAAAGTGTTGTTTTATTTTGATAGCCTATCCTTAGGGTTGTTTCTCTTGTCTAATATTTCTTGAGAACGTTTCAACGAATTTGTTTCGTATCTCTCCAGAACCTCAGAAAGACTAACGTAAATTCGCTGAAGCGTTGTCGTTAGTCACTAGACTTGAGATATATCACTTAAATGTCTATGCTATAAAACTACAAAACTGCCTAAACTTATCCTTGAATATTGTATTACCTGTAACGTTTGTTGTACATACACCAAATAATGATGTACTTGTGTATTAAACCCTTTTCGAAAAATGTTGCAGTTACATGCTTTGCGCTTCAAATTCTTTGTTACTAGTTAAGCTAAAGCGAATTTCCTACAATAAAATATTTAAAAATAGAAACAATTTAGCATTACCGTTAGTACTTCCACCTAGTAGTCACACCTAAATATGAATGCCGAATTTAACACAAGAAAATATTCAAATCAACAAGGGCGTTATTAATTTTGGCAACGCGAATAATTTTATTTCGGAATGTAGCCCTTGTTAAGAGCTTAAGAATCACTTTTTTTTTTCGTTCTGAATCTTAATCATCTATAAGAATAAAAATTCGATTGCATCTCTTGTCACGTAATCCTGGCACAGAATTTAACATTATTAGTAATTTTTCACCTGTAAATATGCAAAATGAAACAAGAAAATGCCTCAATTATTGTTAATAATGAATAAGAATCAAGCCCAGTAAAAATAATTTTTTTAATATCCCATAAAGTCATCTGTAATAATTTTAGAAGTCATACTTTTGATAGTTTAGAAGTAAACATGTGCTAATACCACACCTTTGTTATAGAGAAGCATTTATCCAGTTAATCCAACTTTGTTTGTAATCTTATTTCCAAATCTGAAGTTAGTGCGCTGGGGCTTAACAGTTGGCAAGTGCCTTTTAATATTAACTAAAATAAAGTTATCACAACATTAATTATTCTTATAGTCATGCTGGGGAAATCAGATGAAGTTGATGTGAAAAATATTTGGTTACAATTAAAGAGGCCAACATTCGCGGGCGAATGCAATATGTCTTCGCCACGCAATCCCAACATAGCCAATTTTGACACCAGAAAAATCGTGAAAACACCAAAAAATCGAAAACTGCCTATATCACTGCTTGGGACCTGTAAGAAGGTATCTTTGTACTGAATCTCATGTAAGTTGGTTGACATACAAATGAATAGTTCACGAAAACCCCAAATTGTGCTTTCTTCTCTGAAACATTGAGCAATAATTCCAAAATTGTTTATATCTCTATTTGTGACTTTATACCAAATATCATGTATATTGGCCGGAATACGGCGTAAAAATTGTCAAAGAAAACCCTAAAATTATGCTTTTTTCGCATCTTGACACCAATAATTACTGTTTGTCAATGTGTGGGACCTGTATAAAAGTATCTTTTGTACAAAATCCCGTGTATTTTGGTCAAAATACATACGGCCGAGTAATTGATCAAAACCCCTAAAATTATGATTTTCTGTGAGCTTTGACCCTCCTAAAAAGACTCAAAATGGGAAACTACAACTTTTTATTCTGTGTCAATGCGTTGGGTGCATGAAAATTCTTATTTTTGCCAGTTTTTATCTTGATTGCTGTAAATATGACCGCATAGGAGCCCAAATATTCATTTTTGTGTTGTTATATCTTTGACCCCATAAAATCCTTAAAAAAAGGCCTAACTCAAAACAATGAAAAAAAAAACATGTTTTGACGTATTGGACTAAGCTACAATCCTAACAAGTTTCGAGTTAGTCCGCCGAGAAGTGAAGGAGTGGCAGTCGATTCAAAATTGTTTAGAAGAAGAAACGAAACAACAGAAAAATAGTCTGCCTCTCTGTGTAGACATAATTATCACAAAATACGTAAAGCCTTCTGCACAATGCATTTCGGCTGGTAATAAGACAAGCAGTATGTAGTTTATATATATATAGAATGTACTGGGCTCAAGTGTCGGAAGAAATAATCGATTTAATCTACAAGTCTTGGCTAGACCTTACTTGGACTAGAGTGTTCAATTGTTGGAGAAGTATCATAAAAACTTCCAGGATGATTCCAGCTTTGAAGAGATTATTGTATGGGAATAGGGGGGAATCCCTTGACATGCTTTTGCTTGAGAACAATTTTGGGGGACGAGAATGAGGTTTTTAAGATTGCCATGAATTTTGAGATTCATAAATCTTGATGACTTTTTCATAATTAAACTCCACTAGAAATGTGGTTTATCGGGTAAACCACATTTTCCGATACGTTTCACACAGGTAAACCCGCGAATAACAGCATGTTACATCAAGAAATAACAGGAGTTTTCCGAGTTTGATAAATTGCCTGAGTCTCTGTAAGTGTTAGATAACGAAACTGGACAGATGTATATTAATGCTCAAACTCTTTACTGTGACAAACAAACGGAACTCGCACTTTACGTACTTATGCGAAATCACAGTCGATTCTACTAGAGTGTTTTTAGTTCCACAACTTTTTTTCTCTCATGATTAATCTTCATAGAACAAAAACCCGATCTTGAAACATGTCTTCACTCGACGATTTCTTGGGAAAACTAGTTGCAACTGAATTCAACAAGTGAACTTGATTTCTTTAGTCCGGCATTGGTCAACTGTTACATTTAGTTAATGTCAAGTCGTCCAGCAAAGGATATTACAGAGCCAATCCTTTCAACCCTGATGCTATAAGTTAGTACAATGCCCTCTCGGGTAGAATAGACATTATCTACTATCGAGAACAAATAAACAAAGGAACTAGAAAAAAGGAATTTCAACGACATTCTGGACTACATGCTTATGCTAGAACTGCATACACACAAAATACACGAATTTGTTTTAATTCCTATATGTCTAAAGCAGGTAGAAACCATATGATATGCCTGCATATTATATCTTTCATCCTATATCTGTTTCAGGCTTGTCTTCAAACCAACAATTAAAATTAACTTTAAAATCCACAATAACCACGATTCTCGAAACACTGTCAAGGAGCACATACATTTTGCTTTATTTATAAAAGCACACACACACCATATTGACAGCACAGATATTTTAACAATGAATTACACTACTACAATATAAAACCTTTTAACAAACCTTTACACTAACTTCAGTAAAACAAAACACAATCGTTTAATTTTAGTTTTGGAAATAAATAATAAAATCTAGATATATTATAAGCAAAATCATCTTTTTAACTTAAAACTGTTAATACAACAAGAAAACCCAAAATAATAACCCTCCCCTTTCTAACATAAACACAATATCAAAATATATTTAACCAAAAAACCCTTTAACTGTACTTTAAGAATGCAAAATCATACACTATACAATGTACCCTTTGATAGATCTTTACAGCCCTGCACACTCACTGGAGACTAGGGATGTTGTATTGCAGTTCTGTGTGATGGAGGTAGCTTGTTTTTAATTCCTGGAGGTTTGTCACAGTGGAGGTACCTAATTTACAAAATATCAGTGGAACTACTACTGCAGGATTCTTCCTCTATGACAATTGGCTTAAAGTAACAATGTTAAAGGGGCCAGCAAGAGAGGACCTAGACTGGTTACTGAAACATTACAAGCAGGCTCTTGATGCTATTAACCGTCTGGATGTGAAGTAGCAAGACGTCTGGAAACATTCTTGCATGAGCTGCATCAGTAATTCAACCCAATGGAAACTTGAACAATCTATCAGGTCAACTTCAAAGCTCAGAAGAGGATCAGCACCAAGAAACTAGCCATCCACCTGGACGATCTGTGTCAATTGCATAGGAAGGCTTACCTGGCAATGACCTTGGGAGACTGGGAGGTCGTTCATTGAAAGATTTCCCCATAAGCTTATGAAAAAACATTTGTAAGCGAGAAACATTCTCATTTCAAAGAAGCAATGTTTGCCATGAAACACTTTGAAGTGGAAGCATGAATTGCTTGGCGTTGTTGATGGATCTGTGTGCTGGATCAAAGCCCCCCCCTTTCTCTCTCTTATAATGGATGCCAGGAGATAATGCCACCAATGTCCTTAGTTCTGGGTGGAAGCCACTTATAGGAAATTGTCACCCAAATGGGTGGTTGGTCCCTGGTCCAGGACTATAGGTCAACGAGCTACTCAAGGTGACATCTTGTACAGCCCTACATGACCACAGATGTTACGAACTACTGGGAACCTTTCAGTACTGAAAGATACCTATCCACATTGGTCATTATTTTTATCTGTGTGTACCCATTGCCTCACCTGCTGGGGAGACAATGCTAGTGAAAATCATCCAAAAGTGACACATCCAACCTCTGTCCACTAATTGGCAATGGTCTTGATCAGAGTTGGTGCTGCTGTTCTCTGACTGGCAACAGCATTGGAGTTAGATAAAGACCTTCCCATGTGGTCTCAAACTCATCAGATGCCAATCTATTCTATCAAAACTCAGTTATCCTTACTTCCCTTGCACTGAAGTCAATTATGAGGGGTAATGTCTGCTTGACTGGTCTGGATGGATCAGATGCAAGCAAATCTCCCGTAATCAGCAGTTTCAGGCTGAATGATGTTATGTATCTTTACAGGATTGGTGGAAGACTTATGTCCTGGAAAGGACTCCTCCCAAACTTGACATCTCTCCCATACAACCATCTCTCTCTGTTGGTAAGCTCTCCATCGCCATAATATTTCTATGTCCATAAAATGACATTCTTTTCATAAGAAACATTCCTTTAAACACAATAAACTCACAAGATCAAGCAAGGATTAACACATATGTTATCATTTCAGAAACTCCACACTAAATCCTGATGGTATGACATAGAAATGTCTTGTTTGTGGTATTTTTCAGGCAAAACCAATTTACTGATAAGTATCAGAAAGGTAAAGCAGCAAATAACAGCAGATTTGATCACAGAATAAGGGGAATATTCTATGTTTAATAACTTTACTTAGTTTCCTTAATCGAGCCTGAAATAACGAGACTTGGCAGATGTAAGTAAAGGAAAAACTTCTTTATTGTAACAAATCAGAAAGTACAGTGTGCATACTTGTACAGATAGAATCACAGTCAATTATACTAGTGTGTGTTTAGCTTAGCGTTCTATAGAAGTAAAACACAGCGATCTTCTTCTATCTATTCACTTGACATTCTCCTAGTAGAACTTGCCGAAGAAAGCACACCTAAACTTAAAATGTAAGCTTGCTTTCTTTGTCCAGTAGACAGTATTGTCTCGTGACCTTTATTTTTTCACAACATTGGTCATCTGTGAGATTTAGTCAGTGTGAACTTAGTCAGCAAAATA